TTAAGTTGAGGTATGGTTGGGATAAAGTTTAGGCATGATTACCTAGTAATGATGTGATTGTAATGAATACTAGTGATATGAACTATGCATTGGGTCTTGTGTGACATGCATCATGTGTATAAAGTGTTTTGTGTGATGGATACAATATGGAATATGCTATTAATGAAGATCCCCCTTGAGTGAGTTTGGAGTTTCATGGCTTTGGGGAGAACCAGACTTAGGAGCCCCAATTCTGCCCATTGTGTGCATGGGGTGAAACTTGGATGACATCATTATCCTAACACACCTTGATGTATTTCCTCCTAGTTTAGAATGTTGTGCTGGCTTGACTTGACATGTTCTCTTAGGCTACTCTATGTGTCCCTTCAAGCAATGTGAAATGTTTTACTAGCACCACATGAATATAATTTAGTAAAGTCCATGTCCATTGAATTTGTGTAAATTATGACTTATTGATATGTTGAGATATTCTTAAGTTTTCATGGCTACTTATGTTGTACTTATATATGTGTTGTATATGTTGTGTCTTGTTTGTGTGTGGCTATCTGGCTATAATTCACACTAGTAACTAGAGTGAAATGTTTCTCACTCTTTTTCTTGTTGGTACTATTGTATATGTTTTGTAGGTCAGGATTATCATCTTGATGATGAGGATAGAGAGGAGGCTTATGTTAGAAAAGATGTCCTAACCAAAAAGGGGTGAATTGGTTGCTTAAAAATATCTTGCATAACTTTCTTAGTTTTGAAAAACTTTTCTAAATCTTTTCAAGTAAGTATATTGATCTATAGTTGTATATAGGATACTTAATTTAGATTCAATGTAAGTCTAAATTCACTTAATTCTATATGCAATGTTTATGCCTCGCAACACATAACAACAAACATAGAAATAGAATTGTAAGAATATAAAGTCAAGTGTAGGAAGAGAGCAAAATGCACAACCAATTTATATTGGTTCAACCACATCCGCTTGTGACCGCTTGTGACCTATATCTAGTCCCTAATCAACCCGATTGAGATTTTTCAGTAATCTTTAATATCAAATGTTTTAGAATCACAAAACCACATGCAATACATTTTTGCACTATTAAAGAAACTACTTCCTACACCCCAATAAGCACTATGTAGCACCCCACTACAAGATTTTCCCTTCTTAAAAAACCTACTTGAGAAAAACATAAAATACAAGTTAAGGGACAAATTCACCTAATAAACAGAACATATTAAAGTAAATGAATCAACCAAAGTAACATATCCTTTAACTCCATGAATATAATGATCAATTCAATTCTTGAAATCTTTCTTGAGGTTACCACAAAGGTTAAAGAACCTCTTGTTGCAAAGAAAAATATTTTTAAATTGTGTTTTCAAAAAAGATATCACAAAAATTCAAGTATCTTTGTTCTAAGTGTGAAAAATGATCTATATAAATTTTCTAACTGAAATAATCGTTTTTTACATGGATAATTGATTATTTTGATCTTAGCAAATCTTGAAATCAATTAAGAATAATTTAATTAATTTTTTTGAGCAATAATTGATTATTTTATAAATTAGAATTTGAGAGAATCAATTATTATAGCGACTACTCCTTAGGTTATTGAAAAATAGAGCAAATAATCGATTATTACTTAAGATAATCGACTATTTTAAGTGAAAACTTAATATATCAATTTATCATATCATTTCTCTTTACAAATCAATTTTAAAATTTATTTTAATTATCAATCATCATCTAGATATAAATAAAAAGGCTAAGTTAGTTACCAAGCACACAAGCAACAATGCTTCAAATACACAAACAAGATACAACTTGCACTCTTTTCTTTCAAGAGGCTCAAAATACAAAACAAAATACAAGTTGCACTCTTATCTTTCTAGAGGCTTATTTGTAATCATCAAAATCAACTAAGACCATGTCTTCATCTTGAGCTTGATCAACAACTTAGGTCTTATGCTTTGTGATAGTTGAGCTCTGAAAGGATTTGACATCAAAATATTAGTTAGGATTTTAAGTTTTGTTAGTTTTTAATATGTTAGGACTTGTGTTAGTTCCTTAGTTGTAATTACTTGTTTAGTTTTTCTTTAGTTTTCGCCCATTTTACAAATTTGACTTTCTCTATCCAAGAGGTTTTGCAAACTATTTTACATTATTAATGTTATTTTGAACTCTTGTATCATCTATTTTATTTATATGTATATATATTAGCATGTGAGATAGAAGGTGTCGCAACTAACCCCTTTTACACACACATACACACTCCCTTTCTTTATTTTTTAAATATTTCAAATGTCCAATCTCTTCTTCTTCTTCTTCTTCTTCTTCTTCTTCTTCTTCTTCTTCTTCTTCTTCTTCTTCTTCTTCTTCTTCTTCTTCTTCTTCTTCTTCTTCTTCTTCTTCTTCTTCTTCTTCTTCTTCTTCTTCTTCTTCTTCTTCTTCTTCTTCTTCTTCTTCTTCTTCTTCTTCTTCTTCTTCTTCTTCTTCTTCTTCTTCTTCTTCTTCTTCTTCTTCTTCTTCTTCTTCTTCTTCTTCTTCTTCTTCTTCTTCTTCTTCTTCTTCTTCTTCTTCTTCTTCTTCTTCTTCTTCTTCTTCTTCTTCTTCTTCTTCTTCTTCTTCTTCTTCTTCTTCTTCTTCTTCTTCTTCTTCTTCTTCTTCTTCTTCTTCTTCTTCTTCTTCTTCTTCTTCTTCTTCTTCTTCTTCTTCTTCTTCTTCTTCTTCTTCTTCTTCTTCTTCTTCTTCTTCTTCTTCTTCTTCTTCTTCTTCTTCTTCTTCTTCTTCTTCTTCTTCTTCTTCTTCTTCTTCTTCTTCTTCTTCTTCTTCTTCTTCTTCTTCTTCTTCTTCTTCTTCTTCTTCTTCTTCTTCTTCTTCTTCTTCTTCTTCTTCTTCTTCTTCTTCTTCTTCTTCTTCTTCTTCTTCTTCTTCTTCTTCTTCTTCTTCTTCTTCTTCTTCTTCTTCTTCTTCTTCTTCTTCTTCTTCTTCTTCTTCTTCTTCTTCTTCTTCTTCTTCTTCTTCTTCTTCTTCTTCTTCTTCTTCTTCTTCTTCTTCTTCTTCTTCTTCTTCTTCTTCTTCTTCTTCTTCTTCTTCTTCTTCTTCTTCTTCTTCTTCTTCTTCTTCTTCTTCTTCTTCTTCTTCTTCTTCTTCTTCTTCTTCTTCTTCTTCTTCTTCTTCTTCCTCCCCCTCCTCCTTCTTTTTCTTTAGTATTTTACAAAGTACTTTTCGAAAATATGTATAAAAAAAAATCTCCAAAATGTACTTCTTGTAATTATGAAAAGATTCTTTCAATTTTTTTCTTCAAAATATTAAAATTAATGTTATGAAAAATTGGATGCATGTGAAAAGAAGGGTGCACGATAATCTTAAAATTCTATGTTTGGTAGGAAAATTACAATTATAAAATTTTAGTTTGCTTCAAGATTCTGAAAAATGGAGGAAGGAGGTGTGTGTGAAAGTAATGGATGCTTGGAAAAAAAATTGAACAATGGAGGCGAAGGACTCTTTGGTGTTTTAGAAAGTACTTTATGGAAGTATATAAAAAAAACGCATCTAGAAAGTATTTTCCATAATTATGAAAAGGTTAACATACTTTTTAGTCCTTATAATTTCACTTAAACTAACTTTTAGTCCCTATAGTTTAAAATATACCTTTTTAGTTCTTATAGTTATTTTTTCTATCTTTTTGAATCTCTATAGTTTAAGATAAATTTTTGCACTCCTTGTCGTTATTTTTCTTTTTTTGTAACATTATCTTTTTTTTATTGACATGATAGAAGTATTAATTCAACTTTGTGTGTCTAATGTCAAATTAAGTTTGAAGTTATTCTAAATTAGGTCTCTTGACGCTTCGTACCTCTTTTGTACTCTCACCTACTATGCCTATTGTTGAGACACCATTTTCTTACCCTCACAAAATTGAGGGCCTATACTATGTTAACATAAAGTAGACAATATTATCAAAAGAATTAATGATAAGGACTAAAAAAGATTAAAAAATTGCAAGTATATTAAAAAAATATCTTAAAATATAAAAATTAAAAAAATCAGTCTAAGGATTAAAAAAGTCCATTTTAAACTATAGAGACTAAAAAATAAAGTAAGTGAAACTCTAGTGACTAAAAATATATTTTAACCTTATGAAAATATTCTTCCAGAGAAAGGTTTTCCAAGACATTATAATTAACATTATAGAATCTAGATGCGTATGAAAAGAATGGCACATGAGAATCTTAAAATTCTATATTTTGAAAGGAAAATTACAATTCTAAAATTTTAGTTTGTTTTAAATCTTGAAAAAAAAAATGAAAGAATTGGGTACGGATGTAAAAAGTGAGTGCTTAGGAGGTGTATTATTAATAGTATAATGGAGGTGTATTGTTAATATAGGGAGGTAAGTTAAAATACTTTTAGTTCTATAGTTTCACATACTTTATCTTTTAGTCTCTATAGATTAAAATAAATTTTTTTAGTCTATATATTTATCATTTTCAATCCTTTTTTAGAGTTTAAGATAAATCTTTTTAATTCTTATACTTGTGACTTTTTAATCTTTTAGCTCTTATTGTTAATTTTTTTTGTAACATTTGTTTTATGTTATACGATATAGAGGTCTTCAATTTTGTTAGAGTAAAAAAAACAAATGACTCAATAATGGGTGTCACAACTAAAGATACAAAAGATGTACGATGTATCAAAAATCCTTATTTAGAATAATTCCAGCAAAATAAACTTAACATCAAACACACAAAGTTGAATTAAAATCTTTGTCACGTCAATATAAAAAGAATGTTACAAAAAAATTAACAAAAGGACCGAAAGATTAAAAAATTATAAGTATAACAATTAAAAAGATATATCTTGAATTTTAAGAATTAAAAATATAAGTATAAGAACTAAAAATACCTATTTTAAATTATAAATAAAAATTAAAAAATAAAATAAGTAAAATTATAAGAACTAGAAACTATTTTGACCAAAATAAATATATATCATGAGTTAAATTTACTAAATTCAATTTCAAAATTCAAGTCCATTGAAATCAAGTTGAGTTTTACTAGTTAGGTTGCTACCTCTTGATTTTTATTTTAGAAAGGCAGATAACTAGAGCATGATTCTCGTATGTTCGAAACTCCTTGGTGATACATTTTGGACAATCGGAATCAGAGGCCAAACTAGAATGACTTTATTGCAGTAAACGCTCTTGCCACATTCACACACGTTTCTTGGCAACAAGGCAAAGATGATTCTTCTTGTGTCGTGCAAGTCCTGGAAGGCCCTGAGAGTCTATGTGTTCAGGTTTCATCCCCACAGGCATTTCCCATTGGAAAGAATTAAGAAGGTTTGCAGTTATGAGTTCCACTGTGACCATTCCTAGTGACATGCCTGGGCAAATTCTACGCCCTGCACCAAACGGAAGCAGCTCAAAATCTTGTCCCTTGAAATCTATCTCATTGTTCAAGAATCTCTCTGGATAAAATTCTTCTGGGTCTTTCCAAGCTTCAGGGTCTCTCTGAATGGCCCAACCATTCACATACACTATTGTCTTGGCTTCTATCTCATACCCATCTATTGTGAAACTTCTTATGGCTTCTCTTGGTAGCAGTGGAGTTGGTGCATAATACCTCAGTGTCTCTTTTAGCACTGCTTTCAGATATACAAGCTTTTCAACATCCTCTTCCTCTATGAACTCTTTGTTGCCACACACATTTCTAATTTCTTCTTGAGCTTTGGCCATTGCTCTTGGGTTCTTCATCAATCCTGTCATAACCCACACGCATGTGGCTGCGGTTGTATCAGTACCTCCTACGAGTATGTCCTGTGATTGTCAAGAATGAGTTAATATCAGAGAATTTTTTTTAAGCCCTCTTTTCTGTTTAATTATAATTTATTTTTTAACAATGTGTTAGTTTTCTTGAAGACATGTCATTGTGGCTACGCCATTCTAAACATGAGGAAGCTTAAGGTGTTGGTCGAGAAACCAGAAGCTTAAAATACCCAATGTGTCTGTAATAGCTATGAACTGTAAGGATCAAATTCATATTTTGGATATGATGTTTATGGTTCCATGTTTTCCTTATGTTTCAAGACAATGTAGTGATGAACTAATATTATGTTGATGCGATAAATTAAAAAGGCTTGGATTAGCGAAGATGCATGCTAGACAAATAAAATTCATTTTCAAGATGGTGTAACTAATTTAAATCTCTATAAATCTTTGAACACTTTTAACTGAATTCATCCCAATTGTATTAGTTTAACCGGATCCACCTCTGTATTCTAAAAAATTTAGCTAGGGTACTGATTTCTAAGGTTGGCACAACGATTTATAATTTTCACTTACTAATATTCAGACTTAACTCAATATTATTTTCTAAGGCGAAAATTACTTTAAACTTGCATATTTTATATTCATCTTATTTTTAAATGATATGATATTTGGATTTTTCTCGATGAATGTATTCATGTCAAATATTATTAGACTTAGAAACATATATAAACAAGAAGTGATATTTTTTTTTAAATGATTTAGAATAAGCATGAGTGAGATTTTTTCAATATAATTTTCATACTTATATTATTAAGTTTCATTTGTATATAAATAAAAGATTATCTTTTTTGAAAAAATATTATAATATAATGTAAGAGTTTAAATAAAACTCGATCTTATAAAATTAACTTATAAGATAGTGATGTAAAATAAACATAATATATAAATAAGTAATTTTCCACTTACAAATCACTTTTGATATAAGAGTATGGCTGCAAACTTCACACTTCACGACGAAAGTCTTACCTCATTGGACAAGATTAATTACATGGATTGCACGACCAAATTCCGACGACTACTTACTAATTACAAAAGAATTATTAATAGGAAAAAGTGATAAAGCACGAGCACATACCAAGATAATAGCTTTGATTTGATCATGAGTGAGGTCTATAGACAAGTGACCCTCCTTCTTCAACTCAAGCAACACATCCACAACATCCTTATTCTTCTCTTCATTTGGTTTCACAGAAAAGGAAATGAACATAGCCTGCGTCTCATTAAGCAGCCAGTGGAACCTGCTTCTCGCAGCACCCTCCTCATCGTACTTCCTCCCGAAGGCAACCCTACATATGATAGCACTTGAAACCGACACGATAACCTCACTCAAGTTCGTTGTCTTTGAGGAACCCACGTGGCCGGATATGACCTCGATCATTTGCTTCACCTCGGATTTTCTTACGTGGGAAAAGGTGGAGATGGGTTTGGAGCCGAAGAAATTGACCACGCAGAGTTTTCTGAGTTCTCTCCAGTGGTCGCTGTAGGGACAGACAACGAGCTCCAAAGCGTTGTAGGACAGTTTGAGGGAGCCAAGCGAGGTGGGCCTTGCGCAGACGTCAAGATCGTGGTCTTTGAGGAGCTCTTTGGCTAGTTTGGGAGAGGAAACCACTATGGCTCGCTTGAACCCAAGTTGGAGGGAGAAAAGGGGACCGTGCCTCTTTGAGAACTGCCACAGTTGGAAATTCAGATTTGAAGTGTCCAGTTGGTGAAGGTTGCCAATCATGGGAAGGCCTCGAGGACCCGGTGGACGACGGTTCTTGGCGGTTCTGTGTTTGTTCAAGAGGGTCAATGTCAACACCGGAAGAACCAAGACCAAGACTATGTACACAAGTCGCACCATTTTGGATGAGTTTCAAAATACTAATACTACCTACTATCTTGTGCGTTACCTATATATATATATAAAATAAGAGAGATAAGTTTACTTAGACTTATTTCATTTAATAACTTGTGTTCCACGTCAAATTTCAAGGATTCAACGGTTAAATTTAAAGTTCTTAATCATAAATTAAGTATGCAAATCTTTAAAAAATTTGAAAACCATTTGATATTTTATTTCATTAATTCAAATTGACGGATAATCATAAAATCATTTTATACATTAATTTGAATTAATAAAATGAAGTATTAAACAGTTTTCAAATTTTCTAAAAATTTATAAACTTGATCTATGCATTAAGATCTTTAAATTCAAGGGTTTGATCATTAAAATTTGATGTAGAACATGAGTTATTCAATGGAGTAAACGGATCTCTCCTCTATATATATATAAAAAGAGGAACACACTTTAGAGTAAATCTCTACTTATATTTATTCTGTTTAATAATTTATGTTATACGTTAAATTTTAACTATTCGATTAATAATTTAAAATTTTTCAAACATAAATAAATCTATAAATTTTTAAAATTTAAAGATCATTCGATACTTTATTTCATTAATTTTAATTAATATATAAAATAATTTTATAATTATCTATCAATTTAAATTAAAGAATCAATAAATATAAGCTTTAGCCTTATTCGATAATAGAATTGGCCTAAACATATTTGGCCAACCACTCATAATAAAATCTTCTTTTTCAACTATAATTTTTTAATTTATAAGATTTGAATTTAAAATTTTAATTAAAAAAATTGAGTTGACATATTATTTAAATTAACAACTTGATAATAAATTATATAATCTCTAATAAGTCTTTATTTAATATTATGTAATTATTTGTAAAAAAATATATTATTAAATATTATTAATTTTTCATCATACATTGAGAAACTTTAATACATGTTAAAAAAATAGATACTTCAGAGTTCAGACTCAGACTTAATAATTGATTAATTTCTGGTGGGTTATTGCGTATTCATATACTAGTTTTCAGGACATAGGTAAATACTAAAATTTTCTTGGAGGAGACCAACAAGGTTACTTGCGTTCAATTTTCCGGTGACCCGTATTCCATGATTCAAATAACTTACACGGAGAAGTTATATAAAATTTCTTTTTTTCATCTCTATTTTACTTTTTTTGTTTTCATCTTTTCTTAACTAAATTACTGAACCATTAGGTCTTCTTAATAACATGAGATAGAATAATATACACATTATTTTAACTACAAATCTCATTGTAATTTAATCTATGTATAGAAAAAATTCTTAATATATTACTTTTCTTTTTCTTTTCATCTCTCTTTTCTCTCGGCCTATCTACGATGTGAATGGAGAGTTCTTGAATAACAATTGAATTCCCGGGTCAAATAAATACGATGAAAGATAAGGAAGGAAATCTTAAGAGTAAATCCGTACGGCATGTTAACTGTTATTGTTATATATATATATATATATATATATATATTTCATTAATTTTATTTTGTATTTTATATTTGTTAGCAAAGTATTATATGTCTTCAAAAATTTCAAGATGATTTATTTTTAAAAAGATTTTTAATTAGAACTAATTGCAAAACAGCTCCACCTCTGTTTTACAAAAAGATGTTAAAAATTTAGTTTCAAAACATATTTTTGCAACATGGCAAGCATTATTATCTTCTTTCAATTTTGAGATTGAACATATCAAAGGAGAGACAAACACATTACCAGATTATTTAACGAGAGAATTTTTACAGGAAAAATGAGCAAAAGTACAACAGATCAATATGGAACGCCTTTCAAGGCCTCTTCCAGCAAGACAGTTAAACAGGTTTCACCTGATTCATCAAGATTATTATCGGCTTCGCCGAATGATGCAAGAAAGTTACCAAGCTCTCTCAATAGTAGAACACCTTCTCACTTAGGCTTTACTACCGGAAACACCAACAAGAGTGTATAACCTTGGCCTCTACTTCCCCCCAAAGAAGACTCAAAATATCAATAGCTTTGAAAACAAATAACAGAATTTGAACACAAATTCAAAGATAAATCAAATAATTAGAAAACTCAAAAGAGTTAATAACGATATACATTAATCGAAAGATGGGGATATGGATATTCATGATAAGTAATATGAATATGTCCATTTTCTAGAAATATTATCATTTTGAACACAATATAAATTGATTCAAGTAAAGGTAGCAGAGCCTCCTAGTTATGATCAATTTATATTGGAGATACCAGAGCAGGCTCTGATACCATTGTTGCGAAAGCAATAATCATAATCATAAATGTAAAATTATCAGAGTTTATAAGAGAACACTTACAAAGAGATGAGATTTGAAGAAGATAATAACTCAAAGAGAATTCTTTTATAGCAAGCGTTATTTTACAAACTTAGTAATTTCAAACACTCGATGATGTACAAAGTAGGAGAACCTCTCCTTATATAGGCAAACTCCTTCCTACTAAATTACAGTTAAGGGCATTTAAACTCCTCATTATTGAAGGGTAGGATTGGAAAACAAAAGATGGTACAATAATTTACATATAGTAAGACTTCAGAAGATAAGGAATCTTAAAAAGTCTTTTGTCGTCTTGTAGAGCTGGCAAATAACTTTTCTTGAAATTATTTGATTTATCTTTGAATTTGTGTTCAAATTCTATTATTTGTTTTCAAAGCTATTGATATTTTGAGTCTTCTTTGTCAAAATGTTGTTGGTAATTTCTTCGTCTGACTTAACAATCTCTCCCTTTTAGATGATGACAAATATAATCTATCAATTTTTTTCAGATACAATATAACAAACATGCATATCAGACAGTTTTATCAAGTTCATGCATTTCATATCATACATTTGAGCAATCACTAAGCATTTAAGGGTTTATGATTCAAAGGCCTCCCCCTTAGTATGTGCTCTCCCCCTCACTTGATTATTTTTTAGTGTGTTTGATAGATCTTTTCCTACTTTTCCCCTAGATGGGTTTGATAGATTCTTTTCTACTTCTCCCCCTTTGTAATCATCAAAAAGAAATAGGGGTAGACAAAGCAACAGTTTATTGTTCACCTATCAATTCCATTCCTAGCCTATCTGTCAGCCAGATGTATCTATCTTCTTGAAGGGGCTTGGTAAAGATATCTTTTAGTTGTTCTTCTGTTTTAACATATATAAGTTTGAAGGTTCCTTTTTGTACATAATCTCTAATAAAATGGTGTTTTATCTCTATATGTTTAATCCTAGAATGAAAAATAGGACTTTTAGAGATGCTAATTACAGTAGTATTATCACAAAGTACAGGAATACTACTCTCATAGATGTCGTAGTCTTCCAACTGATGTTTGATCCAAAGTAATTGTGTGAGGCATTGTCCTACAGCAACATACTCAGCTTCGCAAGTTGATAAGGCAATTGTGCTTTTCCTTTTGCTAGTCCATGATACTAAGCATCGTATGAGAAAATGACATCCTCTACTAGTGTTTTTTCTCTCCCATTTGTCCCCTACGTATGCATCACAATATCCTAATAGAGAAAAATTCTGGCTTCTATAGAAGCTGATGCCTAGGTTAGTTGTTCCTTTAAGATATCTCAAAATACGTTTAACAGCTTGTAAATGTACCTCCTTAGGTCTTACTTGAAATCTAGCGTAGACGCAGACGTTGAACATAATGTCTGGTCTGGATGTTGTTAGGTACAATAGTGAACCTACCATTCCTCGGTACATGGTGTTATCTATGTCTACTGATTCTTCATCCAGATTGAGAGTAGATGATGGATGCATTAGAGTCTTCATTGGTTTTGCACCTTCTGATGAGGACATGGGCAAGGATTTAGGAGCACTCAAAGGACTTGGAGGACCAATGACTAAGGCAAGGACTAAAAGGGCCAAGGATGCTTTGCAACAAGTTGCGGCCCTTATTCTTGAAGAAATGCCCAATGATGAAGACAAGGCCAAGATGGTGAATTGTATCAAGGATTGTGAAGCCTAATTACGCCATTTTCTTAGTGGGTGTTTTTAGTACTTGTAATTAGTAAATAAAGGCCTAAAACTCTTGTTAAAGTGGCTGCCAACTCTTGTTTGGGCTGCACCACTTATTGGGCTAGTTATTAGGCAAGTTGTTTTTAGTTAAATAAGGTCCAAAACCTTTGGGATGAATCAGCCATGAGGCATACCAAAGGGTGCACGAATTTAGCATGTGTTT